GGCTAAAGCTGGGTGTGGTGGCCAACACCCCCAGTCCAGGCTACTTGGGAGCTGAGGCAGGAAGACTGCAAGGTCCAGACAATTTAACAAAACCTTATCTCAAAATACAATTATGAGGGGCCAGGGAGATGGCTCAGTGGAATAAGTGCTTCCCTGGCAAGCACAAGGGCCTCTGTTCAATCTCCGGTTCTGCCAAAAAATAAAAAAATAAAAGTATAATTAAAACAACTACATGAGGAAAAAACAAAACAAAACGACTACAGGGCCGGCCAGATAGCTCAGCGGACTAAAGCACCTGCTTAGGCAGATCGCACAGCTGGGGTTCGATCCCCATCATGCTGTGCCAGCCCCTGCCCCCAGGGCGCGCTGAGACGGCAATTGAGACTGGACATGGTGGCACGCACACCTATAATCCCACTATCCCGGCACTCAGGATAGCCATGAGTTCAAGGCCAGCCTGGGCTACATGGTGAGTTCAAAACCAGCCTGAGCTACATGGTGAGACCCTGTCTATGCAATGCCACATGGGGCAGAGGGCAGGGCTGGAACATGACTCAGTGGGCTGCCCAGGGCTGTCCTTCCCCACAAGCCTGACTGTGTCACTAGAGGACTGGGTCACCCTGAGGTCATTTTGAGCAGGTGAAGGGTGACCAGGACAGTGGCTGAGATTGTACAGAGGGCAAACCAGGAGCAGAGGGAGGAGGTGAGCCCGGTACAGGAGGACTGGCGAGGCTGCAGGGGCTGCCTGGGCCCAAGGTGTGGGGGCTAGCTGGCTGGAGACCACCTCTTCCACAGGGCCAGAGAACTGGTAGGTACTGACTGCACACGGTGAGTCCCTCTCGGGCCCAGAAAGTTGCAAAGGGACAGGGCTCTGTGACACCAATTCCTCAGCCCCAGCCACTGGCCTCTGACAGAGACAGAGACAGAGAGAGAAAGACAAAAAGAAAGGAAAATCAGAAATGGGGTTCTGGGAGGGGTAGCGCAGACCTGTGCGAGCCTGAAGGTGCTGGCTGGGGGTGCGACTTTGAGAGCCCTCCTCTCACTCTAGGACAGTCACAGGCCCTCACGCATTCAGTCCCTCAGCTGGCCAGTAAGCACCCTCTGCACGCTGGCTGGCCGCCAGGCTTCTGGGATTATGAGACAAACATGGCACCTTTGGGGCCACTTGGAATGAGGTTAAGGGCACGGGCAGCTCCTCAGTTCTGCCACTTGTTTTGTGACCTTAGGAAGCCACCTAATCTCTGTGCCAGTTCCTGTGTCTAGAAATGGAATGCCAATAATGTATCTACCTAGGGCCAAGCGCTGCAGACACAGCTGTGCTGGGGTTGCTTTTCCTGCCGTCCAACCCTTCCAGCCTGATGGGAGGCCACCATGTGGATGGGGGAACTGGGGATGGGCTCCCCAGCTTGCATCTCACACTTAGAGGGCCTGCTCTGTGCCAGGCGCTGTGCCACTCACTGGGGACACAGAGAAGAACAGGACGCACTGTCCCCGAGTCCCTGCTCCTCCCTGCCCTCCCTCCCTGCTCAGGGCCCCATCCCAAGGTCCAGCTCCGAAGCACCCAGAGAGGTTGGGGCTCAGCTGGTCCCAGGAATCAGGGACCAGGGTTCATGCCTGCCACTCATGGGCAGAGGGGAATAGTGTTGCCCAAAGGGGCAGCTGGACAGGACAGCCCCCTTGGTCCTGCACCCCAACAGGTGGTGAAGACCCCCCAAACCCCAAGGGGCTTTACATTCACCCACGTCCAGGCCAAGGCCCCCCTGGCCCAGCCCAGTGAAGCTGTGAGGGGGGAGACGGCCTGGTACAGACTGGCACTACCCTGCTGATGCGCTGGCACCGCCTCACAAGTAACGGGGCCCTGGATGTGTAGGGCGGTTGTTTGAAGGGGTGGGGCACCCGGGGAAGGCACTGCCAGCTCCTGCCGGCCCTATTCACAGCGCTCTCTGGGGACAGAGAGAACAGGATAATTAAAGCCAGGCTTTGTCCAAACTCCTGACCAAGCCAATACCTCACCTTTGAGCCCTACAGCCAGCAGGGCCACAGCCCAGTGCTAGGGGAAGCACCCACAGGACAGAGGCCACCAGGGTAATGTGTAATACCCCTCCAGTGACCGCAGAGGATACCTGAACCTTCACCACTCCTGAGGACAAGCAGAAAGATAAGTGATCAAGCCAAACACAGTGGGCACACCTGTCATCCCAGCACTCAGGAGGGTCAAAACAAGTTCAAGACAAGCCTGGGCTACATATAGAGACCCTGTCTCCAAACAAACAAATGGCCAAGCTCCAGCCCAGCACAAAAAACTGGATCTGGGCTTGTACCCTGAGAAGCCAAACAGCAAGGGCAGGAGCAGGACCAAGCCAATGGCCATGTGATTTGGGCCTGGCTATCAGCTCTCTGGGGCTGCGTCCTCAACTATACAACAGAGACAACGGTGTCCACCTCATAGTGGCCGTGTGAGAATTGAATGAGGTGATCCACAGCCCTGGCCCAGAGGAACTGCCACCTCTGACTTAGAGACCAGCTGTGCTATAGGGAAGCCAAGCTGTCCTTTAAACCCACGTCTCCTCCAGCACCTGTGTGCTCATCTGCAGGCAATGCATGCTGGGAGAACCTCTCATTCCTACACCCACGTCAGACATCACAGGAATGCCCCTGGCTGGCCCACTCCTGCAGGACACACCCCTGCACAATGCCTGGGGCCAGCCTGAGCTGCTGCAGCTCACAGGTCTCCCTGGGAAGTTCTCCCAGATGTCTAACTGCCATTCCTCCTGCTGCCACTCATCCTCTCTTGCTTTGCAGTCTCTTTCTTTCTTTCTTTCTTTCTTTCTTTCTTTCTTTCTTTCTTTCTTTCTTTCTTTTCCTCTGGCGGAACCTGAGATTGAACTCAGGCCCTTACGCTTGCCAGGGAAGTGCTTATTCCACTGAGCCATCTTCCCAGCCCCACGCAGCCTCTTCTTTAAGGCCTCCTAAGAATCCCTGCAAGGAGGCTCCAGGCAATTGAGGCCACTGTGAGCTCAGGAAGGGAACACAGAGGGCCCCCATCCATGGACCCATGCACAGTGCCTGCACCTCAGTTTCCTTTGCAGGAGTCTGTCCCATACCCTGTGACACCCAAAGGCCACTTTCCCCCCAAGACTTCACATTGAGCCCTGACAACCTTCAGGGGGCCCAGCCTGTTGCCGGAGCAATGTCACTATGGGATGCTAAGCCAGGGGCAGTGGCACACACCTGCTATCCCAAGGAGTTGGGAAGCTGAGGCAGGAAGATCACAATTTTGCATCCAGACTGGGCAACTAAGCAAAATCTTGTCCCAGAATAAAATATAAAAGCAGACTGGGGCTGTAGCTCAGTGGCTAAGCTCATGCCTGCATGCAGCCTGGGTTCAACTTTCTGTGCTGACACAAACAGAAACAATTAAATAAATAAATAAATAAATAAATAGAGGCCGGGGAGATGGCTCAATGGAATAAGTGCTTCCCTGGCAAATGCAAGGGCCTGAGTTCAATCCCCGGTTCCACAAAATAAATAAATAAATAAATAAATAAATAAATAAATAAATAAACGGGGCACTAACACCTACCCTACCCACTCCCTGAGAGTTTTGAGACCCTTAGATCCAGCACTGAGTAGAGAGAATCTACTGATCCCATCATCCCTGGGAAAGGGGAGCCTGGGACACAGGACCTTAGAGCTCCTGCCACGTTTGGGGACCCTGTCACACTGGACAAGAGGAGGAAGACTAAGCCAGAGCCCGGGGTGGGAGCCTCTAGCCCAGTCTGAGGGCAAACCTGAGGTTATATAATAGCGATTGACATCGAATGCCAATGAGCACATCTAGGCCAGCCACTTTTGAGACTGGGGCTCTGGCCCTGGCAGAGGGGGAGGGCCACATGAGATCAAAGCCAAATGGACCACAGGGTGGGGTGGAGGTGGTGAGGGGACAGAAATGAAGTATGCGTTGTTGGAGGAGGGGGAATCCGAGGGACTCATGCTTAATGACTGTCACCCCCGCCCCCCCGTCCATCCTGAATTTCAAGTTCATAATTAGGAAACACTGGCAGAAGGGAGGGGGGAGAGGTAGACAGACAGGGAGAAGGGAGGCAGTTAACTACACACACACACACACACACGCACGCGCGCGCGCGCGCGCGCGCGCACACGCACGGCCCAAGAAGAGTTTGCAAAACAGAGCTGCCAGGACCATCACCGAGGGCTGCAGAGCTGGGTCCCTAAGCCCTTTTGCTCTGTCGGAGGAGGCCGATGCTGGCAGAGAACCTCTTTCCCCAGCTCGGGCAAGTTACTGGCCTTCACCTTGGGATGGGCAGTATGCCCAGTGTTTCAGCAGCGCTGGCGGCCAGGCTCAGAAGTAGGGGACTGGCCTTGATGGGGACGTGGGGACTGAGAGGCCCCTGCCGGCCCCTCCCCAGCCTCAGCAGCTGGCAGATGAAAGAGCCCAAGCAAAGCAGCCAGCGCTGAGTAATGCCCCTGGCACCCCGCGCCCTGACCCACCCACAGCCAGCCGGAGGGGCCGGAGGGAGGGCGGCCGCCTGTGGGGCTGGTGTCTTTCGGGGTGTAGGGGGACCCCAGCCTGGCGGCCGTGGCGCCGTCCAACCCCAGGGTCTAGGCGGGAGGGTTGCGGGGCGCCGCGCCAGGATGGCCCGCAAGGGGCCCGCCCGCCCCTCCAGCTGTGCCGGGCCTCGCCAGCGGAAAACGCCAGCTCGGGCGGAGGAAGCAGCGGGCGCCCCGCCTGCGGACCGGGACAAAGGCGCTGGCCCCCCCGCCCCCTGCCCTGCCGCGGGGCTGGCACTGCCGGATCGGTGGCCTAGAGCCTCGAGCGCGCCCCTTCCCACTCCTACCCCGGGCGGTACCCCCTTGCCCAGCCCAGGTCCGGGCAGCGGTGCCCGCGCCCTGCGTCCCGGCCGTGCTCCTGGACCGTGCCCGCCCAGCGGGGGCGCAGCGCCCCCGGCCTCCAGCCTGCTCTAGCCCCGCGCCGTCACCTGGGGGGGCCGGGGCTCCGGACGCGGCGGGATCCCGACCAGGCAGAAGGCGACTCCATTCATCTGGCGGCAGGGAGGCTCTGCGGTCCGGCCTCGGCGGGGGCGCAGGCAGGACCTGGGGGCGGGGCCGATTTCTGACCCCGCCCCTCAGGCTCCGCCCCGCCCCGCCCCCCGACGGGCGCACGGGGGGCCTCTCCCGAGGGCGGCGGAAGCGGAACGCCGGGAGCCGGGTCTCTGCGGACCGTGGAACCGTAGGTCGCCGCTGTGCCGCGTCCAGGGGGCCCGCCCAGACGACCCTGCCCAGGAAAGGGAGCGAGGCCACCCGGCACACAACTGGTGGCAGAGAAGGAGGGAAGGAGGGCGGGGATGGGAAGAAACTGAGGCAGCCACTTGGAAAGTCTGGGAGACAGAGAAGGGCAGAAGCGAGAGACTCAGGGAGGGTAGATGAGGGCACAAGTGCTGTAGTGTCTGGGTTCCCCTCAATCCGGGAAGCGCGCTACAACCCTGCCACCTGAGGGAGTCGCCCCCTACCCATCAAAGGCTGCCCCAGGCGACCCCCAGCACTGGCTCCCATCTGTCTCCACCCCTCCAGGGTTCACTTGGAGCTGGGCCAGTTCTTCCTGCCGTCTGATTCTATCATCTTTCTCCTTTATACTTTTTTTTTCCCCCTGCGCAACCTGGGATTGAACTCAGGCCCTTGCCAGGGAAGCGCTTATTGTACTGCGACAGCGTCTTGCCATGTAGCCTCCCAAGTGCTGGGATAACAGGTCTAATCACCACACCCTGTTTTTGTTTTGTTTTGTTTTTTGCGTTGGGAATTGAACTCAGGACCTTGTGCTTGCCAAGCAGGCACTGTGCCGCCGAGCTATATCCCCAGCCCCCAACATTTCTTGCCATTTTAGGGGCTCTCTTATTCCAAGCTATGAGAATAAAGGCCGGAGCGACCCATAGACTTGGAGTGCATGGATTTGGAGGAGGCAAGAGGCAGGGACCAGAAATAGGGTAGCACCTCTACCTAGCACCCCCCTCCCCACCCCCACCCCTGCCCTTGATCAGAGGCAGAAATCCAGATCCTGATGGGGTGGCTCTGACACCACTTAGGACATCCCTGCCCCAGGGGCCCACAGGACTACACTGTGCCTATGTGTTTAGTGGGGTCTGAAGTCAGGGCCTTCCCAGTGAGCTCTGTACCCAGCCTTTTTCTTTTTTCTTTTTTCTTTTTCTTTTTCTTTTCTTTCTTCTTTTTCTTTTTTCTTTTTTCTTTTTTTTTCTTTGAGACAGGATCTTGTTAAGTCACTAGGTTGCCCAGGCTGGATCTGAACTTGCAGTCCTCCTGCCTCAGCCTCCCAGGGTGTGACGATTACAGTTGTGCGCTGCTACCACCATGTCCGGCTCTGGTGGATTTTTAAGTCCTATGCTTTATATTTTAAAAATCCCTTCAGTGCCCGGCTAGCTCAGTCAGTAGAGCATGAGACTCTTAAAAAGCCCTTGTTATCAAAAGAAAAGAGATCACTTGTGTAATTATGGGAGACAGTTAATAACCCCCCTCCGTGCCCAGCCCTTTTCCTAGGTATCCCCAAGTCTATGAAAGTCCCTCCTGCTACCCCTCTGTCAGCTACTCTGCTTTTCCCTGCCTCATCTTGCGAAGCCGGCCTGCGCCCCAGCAGCGGGCCCTCCCTGCGGAGCAAAGGCAGCGTCGGAGGGTGGAGGTTGGCATGTGAAGGCTCACGCTGAACTGGGTGCCCCTGGCTCACTTTTTCCAGCGCCGGGTACCCTCGGCCCCTGCAGGAGGCGGCAGAGGAAATGAGCTCACGCTGACCGGCAGGCCGTCCTCCCCCACAATGCGCCGCACCCCTCCCCCACTTCCCAGAAAGCGGCCCCCCACCCTCCGCGCCGCCTCTTCCTGCACCTTCACGGCGCCCCCTTCTGCCACCACTCCCTGTCTACCTTCTCCAGCCCCACCTTCCTGCCTGGCTCCCCAGCTCCCAACACCCATCACCCCAAAACCCCTTAGCTCCTGTACTCTTCCTCTGGGGTTTGGAACCCAAGGGCACAACTCGAGGGTGGTACGTGTCCCCCGTCCCAACACCTGCTTCCATTCACAGTACCTCCGGGGAGCCCTAATACTGGGCAGTGGAGTTCAGGGGAGGGAGGAGGCAGGGGCTGTGGGCCAGGAGACACGGCCGGCGGGCGGGCGGGCGGGCCGAAGCTGCGGGCCCTCCCTCCAGTAGCCGGCCCTTCCCAGTGAACAGGACTACGTGAGCTCCCTGGTCAGGCCGTGGCAGGAGGTCCCTGGGACTGGGGACAAAGCACAGAGGCAGGAGAGGCGGCTCCAGCAGAATGGACAGGAAGTATGGAAGGGTGAGGGCGGAAACGGGCGCTGTGGGACTGGAGGGACTGGGCCTACTACACACTCACATCCCAACCTGGCGTGGCAGAGACTGCAGGCGAAGACGTGCCCTGTCCCCTTGGGCACACGGTGGGTATGGACACAAGAAGGGAAGGAGGGCAGCAAGCCAGGGGCACGGAGTAACCACCAGAGGCTCCGGATCCAGGCACGGTGACGCGCATCTATCTCTAATCCAGCATTGGAGGCTGAGGCAAAAGGATCGTGGAGAGTTCCAGGCAGCCTGGGCTACCCAGTAAGACCCTGTCTCAAAAAACTAAAAAGTGGGCCAGGGAGATAGCTCAGTGGAATAAACGCTTGCCTGAAAAGTGCAGGGTCCTGAGTTCAATCCCCAGTACGGCAAAAAAAAAAAAAAAAAGCAAAACCAAAGGCTTGTGGGGCTTGCTGACTGCTGGGGGGGGGGGAGCAGATTAGGTATTGTAGAGCAATCCCAAGGCTTGGAATATCAAGGACACCAGTTGTCTGGGGCCTTCCCCACAAGGGAACAAGCTGGGTACTAGGTCCTATGATTATCCAGTTACACCCCACAAGGGCCCCCAGAAGGGAGTATTATTTGGTTTTGTGGCTTGGAAAACAGAAATAAGCATCTTATCTGAGACCACTCAGGCCGTGAAGCCAGGCATTTGGTTTCCGGGTCCACACACTTAACCCTGTGTGCAGGGACGGCTACTTCAGCCCCGTCCCTCTCCCAGAGGACAGGGGTGAGCAGGGACTCAGCGGGGTGTCTGGTGCCCTGCCTGGGGTGGGACTCAGAGCTCAGGGACAGCAGAGCATGAGAAGACAAGGCGTGAGATGGCACTGGCCTCAGGGACTGGCAGCAGAGGCAGAGAGCGAGAGGGCAGCTGGGGCATGGCAAAGTTTCCCTCCCAGATGTGCGGGGACTAGCAGCAGAGAAAAAGGTGCCAGCGGAGGGTGGAGGCTGGAAGAGAGCCTGGGAAGACGAAGACCAGGGAGTCCGCAGCCGCAGTTGCCATCGTGCCTGGGCCAGGAGATGGCAAGGCCTTATGATGTCTTTGAAGAAGCACTGAGCATTGGAAGGAAGGCCTGACTTCAAGTCGCCATCCTGCCCATCTGCCCATGGGTGGCTGTCTCACTTTGAGGTCAAGTATGTGCATTGTTGGAACCTCAGTTGTTTTTTTTTTTTGTTTTGTTTTGTTTTGTTTTTGACTGAACCGGGGATTGAACTCAGGCCCTTGCACTTGTCAGGCAAGTGCTTATTCTACTGAGCTATCTCCTCGGCCCCAAGAACCTCAGTTTTTTGTTTTGTTTTGGTTTTTGTATTTTAGGGAAGGGCCTGCAGGGTGTTCAGAGTCTCACTACTAGATCAGACCTTCATGGTGCCAAGCTTCCCAGACTTATCCTGTGCCCAGCCATGTAACTGGGAACCAGGCTCTCGGATGTTAAGTGGCTCGCCTGTTTACAGCCTCCCAAGGGCTGGGATTATGCCCAGTCTCAATTGCTTCTCAGTGCGCCGCCGGGATAGAACCCCTGGCTCTTACACCTGCTTGCAGGTGCTTTAATCCACTGAGCTATTTGGCCAGACCCCAATTTTATCTCTCTTTTTTTTGTGGTACCAGAGATTGAACTCAGGACCCTGGGCTTGTGAGGCAAGCACTTATTCTACTGAGCTATCTCCCCGGGCCCTTTTATCTCTTTTTGAACCTCAGTTTTTGAACAAGAGATGCTCCTGCCTCAGTTTATGATGGAGTTTTGCAAGAGCCCCACTCATCCATTGTAAATTCAAACTATCATAAGTGGCCAATGCATTTTTCCCCATAATTTTATTGAGAGACAAAAGCAATGAGACAGTTTCAAATCAAATTAGTAGGACAGTTTCAATAATTAACACATTGCAGGGCCTGGGAGATGGCTCAGTAGAATAAGCACTTCCCTGGCAAGCACAAGGGTCTGAGTTCAATCCCCGGTTCCAGAAAAAAAAAAAAAA